AACCTTTTGACTCCATGCCGGTCGCCGGCGAAATCTTCAACGGATAATAATTTCCGGCAGGTCACCGGAATAAACGGGGACAACGAGATCTAATTCCACCATTGGAGGATTTTGGGTAAGCATGCAGATACTGGAAATTAAATCTTATCTTCGTTCGTTGGTGAGATCCGTATGATTCTGGGTGTTTTTTTTCTTTCAAATTTCATTTTTTGGGGAGCTTTAAGTCTCGAATTCGGATCTGGTTTCTCTTGGATTCGTAATCATAAATTGGGGATTTTGTCCGTTCGATTGGTTTTTTCAGTATTTTCCTCTGGCTCGGATTTTAGGATCGATCTCATGTTAATCCGATACGATTCTATATGGATCGAAGATAAAAAGATGCGATTTTGACATTTTTTTATACATTTTTTTCCTCCAGATTCTAACATTGTTATCCATCGATTTCAGTGATTCCTACTGATTGATTGACTCTGGGAGCTAGAAGATTATCAACTCCAGTTGTTTTGGGTAAAAGATTTGAGGATGTGGTGTATTTATTTTTGATTGTTTGATAATTTGATATGCAAAATAAAGAGAGGGAGATTGCTTTGGAGCAACGATCGGAATCTGTCTCTATATATAGTGGGACAAGAGTTGGCCAATTGAGAAAGGGTTTGTTTCATACTTGAAGAAGTATAGACTTGACCAAACAAAGATTGTTGTTTGTTTTTGGGTTTGGTTGGATTCATTGTAGTGATATAGGGTTGTAACATTAATGGCTGCGGAAGAACATTCTCCTGAGAGAAGAGAAGTCTCTGCTTCTGCTTCTGCGTCTACTTCTGTGGTAGTGAATTCGAGGGTAGGAGAGAACGATGCTCATCGCCTTAGGTTGGGACCGAACGACTCGCTTCTCCCTGGTCTTATCGATGACGTTGCATTAAATTGTCTTGCTTGGGTTCCGAGATCGGACTATCCTTCGTTGTCTTGTGTAAACAAGAAGTACAATAAGTTGATCACCGATGGGCATTTGTTTGGTCTGAGGAAGGAGTTGGGGATAGTGGAGTATCTTGTATTCATGGTTTGTGACCCGAGAGGTTGGTTGATGTTTTCTCCTATGAAAAAGAAATGGATGGAGCTACCTAAAATGCCCTGCGACGAGTGTTTCAACCACGCGGATAAAGAGTCTTTGGCTGTAGACGACGAGCTTTTGGTTTTCGGGAAGGAGTTGTTTCAGTTTGCGATTTGGAAATATAGTTTGAGGTCTCGGTGTTGGGTCAAATGCGAAGGAATGCATCGTCCTCGTTGCTTGTTTGCATCGGGAAGCCTCGGCGGAATAGCTATTGTTGCGGGAGGAACTGATGTGAACGGTAATATATTAGCATCAGCAGAGCTTTATGATTCTTCATCAGGGAGATGGGAAATGCTTCCTAATATGCATTCACCTCGAAGACTATGCTCGGGATTTTTCATGGACGGTAAATTTTACGTGATTGGAGGCATGTCGAGTCCTAATGAGTCGGTTACCTTAGGGGAGGAATTTGATCTCGAGACAAGGAAATGGAGGAAGATTGAAGGAATGTATCCAAATGTGAACCGAGCAGCCCAAGCTCCGCCTCTCGTTGTGGTGGTTAACAACGAGCTATTCACACTCGAGTACTTAACCAATATGGTAAAGAAGTACGATAAGGCGAAGAACATGTGGGAAGTGATGGGGAGGCTACCGCCGATGGTGGACTCGTCAACCGGTTGGGGATTGGCATTTAAACCGTGCGGGGACCAACTGTTGGTGTTTTGCGGGCAACGAGGCTCTAACGGTGAAGGCATTGTTGTGAATTCATGGTGTCCGAAATCGGGAGCTAAAGATGGAAACTTGGATTGGAAGGTGGTTGGAGTTAAAGAGAATGTTGGTGTGTTTGTGTATAACTGCGCAGTGATGGGTTGTTAAAAAAGAAACCATCTTTGTTTCTTCAGCTTGGAAGTTCGGTTTTTTTTAATTACATCAAATCTATCTCTGGTTCATTCTCCTCTTGACTGGTCCTTTAGTTATTGTTTTTCTTCTGCTTGGGATAACTTATGTTTTTTTCTTTTTCTGTCTATTTTTACAGAAATCTCCTTTTTGAAGTAGAATTATTAACTTAGCTTAGGTGTTTACATTTGGTTGGTTCTAAATGATGACATGGTTGAGAAAAATGATGACATGGATACCATTTGAATTAATTAAATATATCGAAATCAAAATAATCATAATTAAATATCAAATCTCTCACCGTGTATTTGTATTTTAATAAAGCTCATTCATAAATCTATAGGGAAAAGTTTTTCTATTCAAAAATATATCAAAATAAAATCTATACGAATATTACGTTTTAAAATTTCTGAACGAATATACGTTTTAAAATTTCTGAACGATTTCTGAATAAACAAGACAACAATAAAAAACTTTTCCCAATAAAATATTTTGATTCAGATTTATGAAAAAAAAGAATAATGCGCAAAGTATTTTTCATACTTAAAGTATTTGTTTTTTTGCATAACAACATTTCACGTTTATTACAAACACAAGATTTGCTTTAAAAAAATAATAGAATCTAATATTCGGTTCATATAATATCACTATTTAGGATCCGATTAGAATATCCTAATTTATTGTTGTGATCTATTTTTTTAATAAACCAACTCAATTTGGAATCCTTTTTATAGCGCACATAATTATACTTTCAATCTCTACGGTGCGAAAAGTATTTTTCATACTTAAAGTATTTTTTTTTTTGCATAACAACATTTTACGTTTGTTACAAACACAAGATTTGCTTTTAAAAAAAATATCAATAGAATCAAATTTTCGGTTCCTATATTATCACTAACAAGAGATCTTGAGGGGTTTTTAGGATCCGATTAGAATATCCTAATTTAATATCTAACAAAATCACAAAATAATATCTAATAAAATCAAACAAAATTCTGCCCTCTTCTAACTCTATCTATAAATATGGTTCATCATCACAATGATAAACTTCACATCTCGATTCCTATTTTTGCTTTTTAGTATCATAATGTCTATCATACCAAACAAAAACTCTTCTTTCGTACTCTTTGAAAATATTTTGACATCAAATGAAAAACAAAAAATCAAAACTCAAATTCTTGTCTTGTGGAAATCATTTAAGCCCACCAGAAAGTCGATTGAAATGATTTTGGTAGATGAAGAGGTTAGTTATTCATATGACGATTTCATAGCTTTTTTGTTGTTTCTATCCAATTATGCTTCATATTCTGGATTCGTAACTTTTATTTTTTCATGCATGATAAGGCACCACCTTCGAAAATGATTTAACCTGATTTTTGTTTTAATATTTTCTTTGAACACTCTGTTTTTCTTTACCTTGGCACGAAGACTTTTGAAGCAATCTCCCTATAACTTTCTGATCGAATAAACTATCATCAACACCTAAAACATGAAACTGTGATTCTGCTGCGATACCCATTGTGTGGGTTAATTTTTTATCTAATAATGTCATGATAAAAGCGTATTTTACGTGTCAAGTAAAAAACTATATTTTCAAATTTTTTTTTTCCATCCAATTATGCTTATTTTCCAGATTTCTAACTTTTAGTTTTTTTTATGCTGTTCTCTTTAACTTTTGTTTACAAAATAAATATTTATTCTTTTTTTCATACAGGGAACAAGAATCCACACAACCATTAAAGATGATATGCTTTAAAAATGTAACACTCCAACCACCGTCGAGCTATCGGTATGCATGGGAAATCCTCATCCCCTCGAGAGAAATCCTCATCTCTCGATAACATACAAGGAAAATCCTCATCCCTTCAGGAGAAATCCTCATCTCTAATC